TCTATCTATCTATCTATCGTTCTTTCTTTCTTTCTTTTTTTCTCTATTTCTTTCTATCCATTCATCTATCTATCTATCTATCTATCCATCAATATATATATATATATATATATATGAGTTTTTAATCTTCTTTTTGCTTAATTGAGTCTATAAACGAAGTATGATAGAGCCGGATAGTGTTCTTGCTTTAGTGTTAACGTGAGACTTTTACAAGAATAGCACCCAGCTCTGATGATGTCCTTTGGATGATGGACGAAAGCTTAGCCCATTTTCACTCGAAACGAGGGAGCAAGTCTCGTGGACTGCGTCAACATGAGCGTCATATCAACGCAAAACGACAGCAACATAGCGGGATACATGCGTCCTTTTCTGGTGAGATCGAGCCACGAATCTCTTCTTCATGCACTTTCATACGAAATGAAAGTCCCCCCAACGCAGCCAGCAGCACCACTTTTCTTTCTCATGCTCGCTTTCTCCTTCCTCTTGTAAGTTCCCATCCTCCCCGTTACGGGAACAAGAATAATGTGAAAAAGCCATTCTGCTCTGCCCTCTCCTCTCCCCCCCTCCTCCTTCTTCTGCGTCGTCTTGGCGACACATAAACTCGAATCTCGAGCATGGTCGCTCATGCGAGGAGTCAAGCTTGCTCGGCCATGTCGGTCCTGTCGATGGTGTTGTTCGTATGCCTGTCTGTCACTAATTGTGTGTGTGTGTATGTGTATTAGTACTTCAAGCAGGCAACCGGGCGAATCAATCTGAGGGGTGGGACCAAGTGCTTCCGGTGACTTTGTGAATGCGTACTTTTCGGTAGGCTCGAGGGACAAATTCGTCCGACCGGTACGTCTCGTAAGTGCTCCCATGAGCCCATCCTCCTTCGCGTTGCGCGTTGCGCGTTGTCGGCCGAATTGACCTGACGCCCGGCCAGAATCTCGCTTCGTCTGTTCTTATTCTTTGTTGGAAAGACGTCTATCGGCACTTCATCTCGTCTAAGGTGATGCGGACCCGGCAGTCCAATTCCCACCCAAAATCATACAAGGGGGCCATTGTGATTCACACCGAGCTGCGGCGTACTGGTTGACGTGTGCATATTTTGAAGGTCGCGCCACGACAAGCCGGGTTCGAGTCCCGCTGGAGCAAGTTCGAGAGCACAGTTCGCTCCGGTCGGGACGAGACTCCGTTTCGAGGAGCCGGCTCATGTGACCGTGTGTGGAAAAAGGACGTCGCCCCAGCGCAGTGTGTGTGTTGAATGTGTGTTTTGCGCTCGCCGCCTGCCTCCGTGTGGCGCTGCCGGCTGGAGCCGATTGTCTCGGCGAGTCGGACTCGAGCCGGCCTCGACGCTGGGCCCTTTCACACAAGCCCCACCACTCTCCCCACACATCGCGGCTCCTGCACACGCTCACATTCACACAATGCACATTGCGAAGCCTTCCTCGCGACGTTATGCTCACAAAAACATGCAAATTCTACTTTTCCGATGAAACTCACAAGGCCGACGCAGAAAGGTACCAACCGGTAGACCCCCCTTCCACGTCCTAGTCACTTTCACCCCAAATTCCAGTTGGTCACATCTCCCGTAGCAACCAACCCGTGAGCAGCACCTCTTGGAGTACAACTCGTCGGTATCATGTCCCGCGCCACAGCATCGAGCCTGACTGTTGTACCAATCGGAAGATGACATTAAAGCTTCTTAGAACCATCTTAAAACCAGAAACTTGGTAGACTCGAAACCACTTCTCGGTCACCTCCTGTAAGCCGTTGTAGTGTTGTGTGACCGAACACTGCTTGCTCTCTCACACTTTACCGGAAGATATGAAGACCAAGCTGTTGTGGCCTCTGGTATGGTGGCAGTCTCCTTTCGATTGATAGACCCGGATTGATCTCATTCTCGCAACTTGGTCTTGTTGTCAGGGCGACTAGGTAGAATGCATCTAGTCCGAAGTCGTCTGCCACAGCCGCTGTCATAGTTCCCAGCATCAGACAGTGGACCATGACAACTACTCTGGCAGACGACTTCGGACTAGATGCATTCTACCAAGTCGCCGTGACAACAGCACCAAGTTGCGACGACGAGGTCAACCCACTTGGATACACCTCCGCGTCCACTTTGTCCTTGCAACTGTGAATCCTCGTCTATAGCTTTTCGCGTTTCGTTTTCTGGCATCCAAACGATGTGGCATCTTCAAATTGCAGCCAAAGTCAGAAGACAACGCATCATTCGGTGGCGATAGCATCGCAGGACACGATCCCATCCGGCAAACTGTAGAGGCTGTCGACTACAGTTGCCATGACTGCATGAACAAGGTCAACTCTGTTTTTCTTCAAGCTGTGTGAATTTTTGGGAAGGCCAGCTCATTTCACACGTCATATTCTATGGTGGGATTGTCGATGCAACAAAGTTGTATTTGTCAGAGCAATCAACCAGACTACTTATATTATCTCATAAGTAGGCTCTAGAGACTCACTAAAAGGC